CTCCCCCTCCTCCTTACTCTCCCCGCCCTCTCTTTCCCTCCTTCTCCTTTTGTCCCTTCTCTTCCTCATCTGTGAAACTCCCCCCCCCCCCCCGCCTGGATTCCATTAATTTTATCTAGTGTTTTCAACAAATTTGATCAGTTCTAATTGTCTCTGAAAATTAGGCCATGACAGTGGGACCTGCAAGGGTGAGGGGGGTGGGGCCACTTACCTACCCTCACCTTGAATCGCTTTTCTTGGTTAAGACAATGAGCAGCAGTGAGGATGTAGAACTCATTCAGGATGGTGCCTCCACAGAAGCCTTCATTGTTCTCCTTGATGAGATGAGCCTGCAATGAGAATGCCAGGGCCAAACAGGTTGAACTTGACTTTCTGAGAAGAGAAATTTGGAATCTGTAATTCAAGCCTTCCTCTTCATTGCTTCTGCCTGGATCAGGGCATCTCCCTCCTATAGCTGGTGTGCTCACCTGAGCCTTCCCCACCCCCACTCCTGCCCCCCCACACCCCCATCCCACTGCCCTTTCCAAGGAGAGAGCTGCGGCATCTTCAGACTGGAACACAGGCCGGAACCAGCACACCTACAGTGTTCTCCTGATCACTCGGGCTATGGCCCAACATGGCCAGTCCTGTAGACCTGAGCTTGCATTACCAAACCTGTCCTCCTGGCCATTCAGTCCTAGACCCTGGCACATTCTCTCTCCAAGAGGTGGCTCACGGTTGACTCCAGCCCACCTTCCCATCTCCTCCCAACCCACCACTCCCTGACTCCACAGCACGGGTGTGGGCAGCATCTCATGCCTTCTGGTCTTTGCTTTACCCACCAGGCAACAGACACACTTATTCATTTACTCTACAGACATTTACTGGGGCCCTACTAAGTGGCAAGTGCTAGCCACTGAGTAGAGTTGTGTCACAATTTACCTACCTTTTTCCCCGCCTGGTCTACAAACTCACTCTGACAATTACTAGTCTTTTATTTCTTCTGGTTCTGTCACAGCACTCTCTAAAGAGTTATGCACAGATAAACAATTGTCACTCCGTTGAAGATCTTTATTGCCTCTGTGGCTATGAAGTAGAAGCCAGTCTGTGGACAAATGCTTGCTTACACTGGTGTGACTTGTGGCCTTAGAAGGGATCCACTATTCAAGCCAATCTCCCACAGCCCATGGAAGGCCACCGTCAAGGTTAATTTCTGTGGAATCTATGTGGCTACTTCTGTAAGGGGTTTTCACCCTGATTTTGGATTTGGGAGTAAGGAGTATTCCACCTGGGAGTGAGCATTGATGGGGCAAGTGAAAGTCACCACACAAAATTCTCCTATATTTCTTTCCTCCCAAAGAACTGAGCTTGCAAATCCAGAGATGGAGCATTTTTTTCTCCCCTTTATTATGGGAATTCCACATCCTTTAAGCAACAGTTATTGGCTGGGGATATGTGTTGGTTAATGAAACAAATAACATCAAGTTCTAAAAGAATTCTTGAAGATGTTCCTTGACTTGTAATGGGTCATGCCCCAATAAACCCATTGTAACTTGAAAATATGGTAAGCAAAATATGCATTTAATACACCTAACCTACTAAATATCATAGCTTAGCCTAACCCACCTTAAAGGTGCTCAGAATAAAATAGTCCAAGACACTGTGAAGTACTGGTTGTTTACCCTCTTGATCACCTGGCTGGGCTCACTGCCAGCATCAGGAGAGAGTATCATACAGCACATGAAGAACCCGGGCGAGAACCCGGGAAAGATCAATGTGTATCGCTTTTATAACATTGTAAAAGTCGAACCATCATAAGTCAGGAGACTTCTTTGCCCCCCTTTTTTTGGTATAATTTATTAACTCTTAATACAACTTGGGTGATGAGTGAGGGCGAGCCAGTCTTTCTAAGACTGGACATCATCTGTTCTTCTTAAAGATGGAGATGAAGCAACGTGTGCAGACTGGAACCAGGAGAGCAAGAATCATGAATCCCTACAGACTCATTGAGGAACCGGCTGGTAAGGATCCTTCTGCCCAGTCCCCTTCCCTGTCCTCTCTGCCCTTGGAGTCCCATCTAAAACCACCCCCAGAGCTGACACCTCCACCCAGTGGGCGCTTGTCCTAGTCTTCCCAGTGGAACTTCGTTCTACACCCACTGGTACCACCTTCGTGGCCTTTATCACATCAACTTGAATTGTGGTCATTTGGGTGGACCTCACCTCCCTTCCCAGATCTAGATGTCCACATGTCAGAGAAACAGCTCTGATGATCTCATAGTCTACACACAGAACCCCAACTCTATGCCGGACATGCAAGTTCCCCATAAATACACGTGGGGTGAATGATGACTAGATGTTGAAATGTCCTGTATTGGCTCTTGATAAGTCAGACAAATGCATAGCTGTCGTGTAGCTTGCAGATGAGGGTGAGCTGAGGTAATTGGCAGCTCTGGGATTTTGCTTGTAGGAGAAGCCATTTTGGCTTTGAACACTAAAAATGTATTAAGTCCAAGTTAGGATTGCCAGATAAAACAGCGGACATCCAGTTAAATTGGAACCAAATGAATCGCAAATAATTGTTGGTATAATAGCATGTCCTAAGTCATATCTGGTATATACTTACATTACACATTTTTCATTGCTTATCTGAAATTCAAATTTAAGTGGAAGTCCTGTGTTTTTATTTGCTAAATCTGCCAACCTTAGTCCAAATGAACAAAAGGATTTTTCTTTTTTTTACCTTTGATAACAAATGGATGTATTTTTCTCTAAGGCAGTGGTTCTCAACCTTCTGGCCCTTTAAATAGAGTTCCTCATGTTGTGACCCAACCATAAAATTATTTTTATTGCTACTTCATAACTGTAATCTTGCTACTGTTATGAATCATAATGTAAATATCTGATATGCAGGATGGTCTTAAGCGACCCCTGTGAAAAGGGTCGTTCGACCTCCAAAGGGGTCGCGACCCACACGTTGAGAACTGCTGCTCTAGGGTTCTCTCTGCCTCATTAGAATTTAGGTGTTTCAATAAAAAAGTTTTACCAAATTAGAAATAGAGCAAGGAGAGTAAATCTTTCTGTCTCCAGTCAAACAGAAGAGCCAGCAGAGACCTCACCCACAATCAGGGGAGCTCCCCTTTACCTGCTCATCCAAGGCCTTAGCTGGCACCCCATCTCTCCTTCTACTGTAGGAGAGGCTTTAGGGCTCAGATCCTGAGCATGGGATGGGAATGGGCAGCAGGGGTGGAGGGTGTAGGCAAGGGCCCAGTTCCTTCTCATCTCAGGTTCCTTCAGCATGGGAGCTCAAAGCCTGCTGAGGGTCCACATGTGTGTGTGGGCATTATGATCCCGGCCTCGGCCTCCATGGCTGTGCCTGCAGTGCCAGCCAGAATGGGTCGCCCATCCAGTTAACTCACTGAACGTGCTCAGCACTTACCTGCCAGGGACACTCGCCATCTTTGCAGTCCCTCCCTCCCACTATCCTGACAAGTGAGTTCTCCTCCTCTGCAGAGCTCGGCTGTGTGTTATTCAAGCCCGGCAGATCTAAAGGGTTTGTGGTCGGATCCAGGTCTCCATCAAAAGGGTTTGTGGTTGGATCCAGGTCTCCATCGAAAGGGTTCGTGGTGGGATCCAGGTCTCCACCGTCTTCGGGGGGATCCTTGCTGCTGTGGGCGGTCAGGGACTCTGACCTCCTCCTGCGTGCCAGAGTGAGTTTCCCACAGGGATAAGGCTCTGGAAGAAAAACCAATGGCCTGAGGCTTCAGCAAAGCGAAACCCTCCCTGCACAGCACGCACAGTTCATTAGCAGCAGGAGGCATAGGGAGGCCAGAGAGAGAGAGGGTCCAACCCCCAAAATTATGGGTCGGGTCAGAGGGCCTGGAGAACTGCAGTTGGGGAAGAGTGAAGTGTGTGCTTGGCAACTGGGAAGGGTGTGAGGAACTTTTGGGGTGCGGAGTGCCCTATATGTTGATCTCGGTGGCATCACAAGGTGGACGTGACTGTCATGATGCAGGGAAAGTGCCCTTCCCGTCAGTGCCCCACTGTGTGTTAGTCTCACCTACAGGACCTGCTGCAGACACGGGCTCTGGGGCTGACCAGGATGCTGAAGCATTGAAGGAGATGTCTGCAAGCTACTTGGAATACGCACCCACATACTACAGAGGCTGACAGTGGACAGAGGACACAGAGGGCAGGCAGGCAACGAAGCAAGCAAAGAGGTTAATGGTAGAATCCAGGTAGGCACATAGGGGTGCTCACTGTCAAATCCTGTCAACCCTGATGTGTGTGAAAACATTTTCTAATGAAATAGTGTTGTTGTTGTTTTTTTAAATTGTTCTTGGAAAAAGGGACAACATAGGCAAACAACCTGAGGCATAAGAAGGAGCACTGCACAACATGGCTTTGTATGATAATGTCTAACAGGAATGACTTACCCTTAAAATCACCAATCTCAGGGGAGATGTCAGCAAATACCAGAAAGCTTCCTTTCTGTATTATTACCAACTAAGGAATTGAGGCGGAGAGAGGGGCCAACGCCGGACAGAGAAAGGGAGAGGTGTAGAGGCCCATCAGAAAACAGAGGACAACCAAGATGGCGGCATAGGTAAACACCTGATCTTGCTGCTGTGCACAACCACATTAAAACTACAACTAGCCGAAACTGGTTTGGCTCAGTGGATAGAGCCTTGGCCTGCGGACTGAAAGGTCTGAGGTTTGATTCCGGTCAAGGGCATGTACCTGGGTTGCGGGCACATCCCCAGTAGGAGATGTGCAGGAGGCAGCTGATCGATGTTTCTCTCGCATCGATGTTTCTAACTCTCTAACTCTCTCCCTTCCTCTCTGTAAAAAATCAATAAAATATATTAAAAAAAACAAAATAAAACAAAACTACAACTAAAAGACAAAACGAATAGCATCCAGAACCACAGGAAGGCTGGTTGAGTGGAAATTCTACAACTAGAAGGAAAGAGAAAAGTGCACTGAGTTTGGTAAAAGGTGCAAAGGTGTGGAAGTGTGGAGGTACGGAGGCTCGTGCGAAAGTGGCTGGCATCTGGGTACGCTGTTGTCTTTTTCAACAGGGAGGGAGATACAAGCTCCGGACTGCTCTGAAATCCAGTTCTGGGTGAGAATCTGGGGACCCAGACTTGTACAGAGAGAAACTGTACTGTCCGGCATCGGGCCGGAATGTGAGGGTGGGTTTCTCACAGAGGTACTTGCAGTGTTCATTGTTCCTGCATGTGGCCGAGGGACATAGAGACCCAGGGACCTATCAAGGGAGGGCCAATGGCAACCACTGCTGTTTGCACTACCCCATGACTCCCTGAGATCACGCCCCACCCAATTTACAACCCCACCCAAGCTGTGCACAGAAGCTTTTGCATACTAATGGCCTGGCCTTTCTCTGCCTAAAAACCTATCAAACTGCAGTTGGGAGAGAAACTCACAGCTTCCCAAAGGCCTAAGGCTATCAGCAGCCTGCATTACTTCACAGTTTTGCCTCATCTGGGCACCTCCAAACCCCAAACAAAGAGGAGGAATCTGCAGATCTCTCTGTAGTTCCTGTTGGGTGGCTCAGGCAGTGGGTGACTTTGCATCCCCTTGGAGATCCAATAGCCAGTCTACCCAGTGGTCAGAGTGAGACCATCCAGATTAAAACTCTTAACATCCATAAGAGACACACTCAGGGGGCAGACTCAGTGAGCACCAAAGCCCCACTGAAGCAAGTCCTGCCCCATAAGGGTGTCTCCAGCACAGAAGTTCTCCCATTGTATACACAACTGGTCCTTCACAGCCAATTGACCTGGAGGTCAATTCCTCCCAGTGACACCAACAGAAATCAAGGCTTAACTACAACAAGACTGTGCACACAGCCCACAAAGGGGTGTAACAAGAGTGTCCAGGTAATTGGGAAGGCTGAGCCACTGGTCCCTATAGGACACCTAGCACACAAAGCCACTATATCAACACAGAGAAGCAGCCAAAATGCGGAGACAAAGAAACAGGTCACAAATGAAAGAAATGGAGGAAAGCAAACTACTTGATATAGAGTTCAAAACCATGGTTATAAGGCTACTCAAGAATCTTCTAGAAACTTCTGAGAAATATAGTGAGACCCAAAAGGATATGAAAAAGGACCAATTAGAAATTAAGCATACAATGATGGAAATAAAGAATAATATACAGAGATCCAAGAGCAGACTAGAGGATCCCAAGAATCAAGTCAAAGATTTGAAATACAAAGAAGCAAAAAACACCCAACTGGAAAAGCAAAAGGAAAAAAGAATCCAAAAACATGAAGATAGTGCAAGGAGCCTCTGGTACAACTTTAAGCGTACCAACATCCAAATTATAGGGGTGCCAGAAGAAGAGAGAGAGAAAGCAAGATATTGAAAACCTATTTGAAGAAATAATGACAGAAAACTTCCCCTATCTGGGGAAAGAAATAGACTTCAAGTCCAGGAAGCACAGAGAATCTCAAACGAAAGGAATCCAAAGAGGACCACACCAAGACACATCATAATTAAAATGCCAAGGGCAAAAGACAAAGAGAGAATCTTAAAAGCACCAAGAGAAAAACAGTTAGTTACCTACAAGGGAGTACCCATACGACTGTCAGCTGATTTCTCAACAGAAACTATGCAGGCAGAAGGGAGTGGCAAGAAATTTTCAAAGTGATTAATAGCAAGAAACTACAACCAAGATTACTCTACCCAGCAAAGTTATCATTTAGAATTGAAGGTCAGATAAAGAGCTTCACAGACAAGAAAAAGCTAAAGGAGTTCATCACCACCAAACCAGTATTATATGAAATGCTGAAGGGTATTCTCTAACAAGAGGAAGAAGAAAGAGGTAAAGATAAAAATTATGAACAACAATGTGACAACAAATACATATCTATCAATAAGTGAATCTAAAAATCAAGTCAATAAAAAATCTGCTTAACAGAATAAACTGGTGAATAGAATAGAATCAGGGGCATAGAAAGGGAGTGGACTGACAATTCTCGGGGAAAGGGAGTGTGGGAGGTGTGGGAAGAGTCTAGCCAAAAAACATACACCTATGGACGAGTATAGTGGGGCGGGGATAAGGATAGGAAGTGGGTGGGAACCAGGTGGAGGGGAGCTATGGGGGGAAAAAGAGGAACAAGTGTAATAATTTGAACAATAAAGATTTATTTTAAAAAGAAAAAAAGAAAGCAGATGGCTCCTCTCTGTTGCCCTGGGTTTGCCTAAAATCAGAGAAGCAGAACGTAGTTCTTTTTAGTGTTTGCGAGGCCTCCAGCAGGACCTGAAGGAGCCCTCTCCACCCCCAGCAGACTTGTGCTGTGTAGGCTGGAGATAAAGAGTGTGGTGTTGATATTTGAAATCACTGTCCTTTGAAATACTGAATGAGGAAGTAGTTTATCTGACCTCCCCCCCACCCCCCACAAATATCACACTTCATTAAATTGAGTTGTAATTATTCCTGGAATTTAAACAAAATTTGCATGCATGTTACAGTCTACCCCCTATTGTTGAACCAGCATAAGTTTAAAAATCTCATTACCAATGGAGATGTAAATGATATTGTCTTTTACTTGTTGAGAGAGTTGATGTTATCTAATAGCAGTCATTCTGGAATGTTCCTGTCTTGTGGAGTGGGCCTGGGACTTTGCATTTGTACACTCTACCCCTCCCTGACCCCCCTTGCCCCAGTTGATGCTGAAGCTGTGGGTCAGTCAGGGAACCTGGCTTTGAAAAACAAGTTGGTGCCACTGTGAGACTGAGAGAAAGGAGTGGCGCCTCAGCACCGCTGGCTCCAGGTTGGCCCTGCAGCATAGGAGGACCTTTCTACAGTGTGCGAGACCCCAGGGGCCTGACCCATACTCAGCCCCTTAATAGGCCATGCCCTCCCGAGCTTCTACGCCAGACTCATCGTGTCCGGCTTTTATCAAGGAAAATAATAAATAAATTTTATTAACGTTGAGGCCCACACAACCTAAATTAGTTCTTTTTTGTTGTTGTTAATCCTCACCCGAGGATATTTTTTCATTGATTTTTAGGGAGCGTGGAAGAGAGAGGGAAAGACAGAGAGAAGCATCCATGTGAAAGAAATACATCAATTGGTTGTCTCCTGCACGAGCCCCAACCAGAGTCTGGGCTGGGGAGAACCTTAAACTGAGGTACGTACCCTTGACCAGAATCGAACCCGGGACCTTCTGGTCCACAGGCTGACACTCTATCCACTGAGCCAAACCAGCTAGGACCTAAATTAGTTCTCGAGGGGCCTCGGCTCCCCTCTTTTCAACTCTCCAGCTCCTACAGTCAGGCCTGGGTTGCCCTCACCCGCCTGCACTCCCATCTTGGTTCATTGTAACTCCCAGTCTCCCAAGCCTCCTGTCCTACCCAGGGGTACAAATCAGGCCTCCACACACTCATTACATAGTTAGGGTTTGCTACGAATCAGGCACTGTGCAAAGTGCCCTCCATGCATTGCTCTCTTAATTTGCACATTTACTAAGCAGTTAGGTAATATCGCCGGCCCAACTTTTCACGCAGCTCCCAGAAACAGGGGTATGTCTCCAAATCTGCGGCCCACCCCGGCTGCTCCAGCTGTCCTGCACTGGCCTCTCTGACTCAGGGAGCCCTGGTGGAGTGGCCCCATGCGCCTCCTACCTGTGGAGATGCAGGACTTGCCATTGTCATCCAGGATGTACCCGCTGGCACAGGAACATACCACGGAGTTCTGCTCCTCTCTGCAGAACTGGTCACAGTCCCCGTTGTCCAGGCTGCAGAACTTTCGCATGGCTGTAAGGGACGCATGTTGGTTCTCAGGACAGGCTGGGTAAACTGAGGTTGCAGCTGGCCGGGAGGAAGGACAGCAGCCCCAGGGGGACATACACCCACCGTGAGCCCTACAGCAGCCACCTGGCTAGAACAAAAGGCCGGAGCCACATGGCCCATGCACATCAGCTGGTGCAAACAGGATGGGCTGCCCAGAGCAGCTGGTGGGGTGAGAGGACCATGCCTGTGCGTGTGCTCTTCTCACTGCCCAGGCTGCCTGGGGAAACCATGGCGTACAGTTAGGGAGAGAGCTGAGTATCTGCCGGGCCCCGGCACCAGCCTTCCAGGAGGTCCTTAAATAATCTGAACATGGCCAGTGAGGGCCCGGGAAGCTGGAAGGGTCTTAAGTTCAGCGCTAAGAAGGCACATGGGTCCTGACCAGCTTGGAAGGGCTCCCTGCAGGAGGGTGGGTTCCGGGCCAGGGGCTCAAGAGGAGCCTGGTGGAGTGGCCAGAGGCCCACCCACTCTGAGGCTAGAAGAGTCCCTCTGTAATAAGGGTCTCAGAGACTGGGGTCTGGGCCCCAGTGTGGTGGGAAGAAGATAGAAAACAGGCAGTGCACATCCTGGAGGCAGGCCACCTGAGTGCCAAAATGACCCTTCTGTCACTTGTGTGATTTGAGGAAGTCATTTCAACCTATGGGCCTCAGTTTCCTCACTTGTAAAGTGGTGGAGGCCGTACCACCTCACAGGATAACCTCACGGGTCACGGGAAGCTCTTGCCCCATGTCCGTGTGAAGCCGTGTCTCCCTGGACCTCAGATCCGCAGCTCTGCCTGAGCCAGAATCACCCACCTGCTTCCTGTGTGCACTGAACTCAACCTCCAAACTCACATCAGTGATGCTACCCTGGCCATTTACACTCCGCACTTGGGTTTTGATGAAAAAGTAATTATGGTGCAAAGATCAACGTTAATGAGACTTTAGAAAACATTCACCATGGCCCTGGGGTCAGAGCCAAAAGGTGTGCAAGAGCGGCTGCTCTGGATTGGGATGAAACGATGCCTAATTGATATTCCCGGCAGAAAAAATTCTGAAGTAATCAAATTCAAGAGCACATTCCAAAGATTATGAATTAAGTAATTTAAAAGAAATGCAAATCTTTCTCTTTAGGGAAATCCAGTTTAATATTAAAGCTTTTTTTTGTTTAAAAATTAACCAGCATATTAGGAAAACTCCTAGTGACTTTTCCAAGTAAGATTAATTAAATGTTTCAAATTTTTATAATTGGACAATCCCGAACAGTTAGTATTGGCATTTGCACTAATAAATGTAAAATGTGGTGATTTAGAATCATTGCCCAGGACTACAAGGAATGTAAGTAACAACGATGAGGGATACATTCTACTCCAAGAAGGAAGTCAATTCTCATTTCTATGTTAGTGGGCCACATGCTTCATGAATGTTCCACAGCCTCTCTCAGAGGAACGGAGAGGTGACTGTGTGTTTCACTGAACTCCAACACTGAGTGGATTATAGGGCCGTCAATTTTTGTCGTTTTCTGTGACTACAGTGGCCCTTCATAATGGAGCACAGACTCGACATCAGAAGTGAAATGAGGTTGTTCCCTTGGACATTTTGACTTTTTCCCTCTTTCCCACATTCGATTCTTCAGGTAACTCGGACCTGAAGGCCTACCAAGAAGAGGAACTCACGTAATTCACAGTTTCTGCCTTCATATCCTTCCTGACAAGTGCAGGTGTATTCCCCGAGGCCGTCCTTACACCTGCCCTGATTCAGGCAGGGATTGCTTTCACACTGGTCACCATCTGCAAAGAAAGGGTTTGGAAACCGAAGCTTGCGGGCAATTTCCATCACCATGGAAATGACTTTGCTGTGTTGATCTTGGCACACATTTTTCAGATAACTCGAATGAACGTGGACTTCTTCCTGTTTCCCTGTAAACAATTTCTCCTAACTGAACTTCACTGTATCCTCACCTTTTGTGGCTCTGTGTACGTGATGCTCTTATCTTACTGGATCATTGGCTGAGCTTTCCAGTTTTTGCTGAAATGTTTGACAGCATTTTTACATTAGAGTGAAGAGCTCTAGGATGGCGACTATGTGGGACCATCTGGAAGGGGGAAGATGTGATTGTCTGACACTGGACAACAGAGCTGTTAGGGTTCCTGTTTCCAAATGCTCTGGGGTAAAATGAGAATGCAGAGACAACTGCCCAGCACCAACACGGGACTTCACATTTCTTGGTGCATTTGTACAATCTAATTTAGAGATAAGCCCAATAGTCATTTTGAGAAATTTGAATGGTGTTGCCAGAATGAAAACATTAGTCAGGATTAATGCCATTTCAGGTGGTATAAGGGTTGACTCAAGATGCTTACCTTATTATAGGATCCAATCTTTCCGACTCTATTTTTTTCCTAATATACTCGGATTTTTAAAATTATCACTAAATTTGGTATTCTCAAATGGGAAGATACTGATTTAAATCTATACGTAAGTGGCAACTTGAGGATTAGTGTAAAGTTACTATAAAAAACTATTTTATATCCCTAACTGGTTTGGCTCAGTGGATAGAGCATCGGCCTGTGGACTCAAGGGTCCTAGGTACGATTCTGGTTAAGGGCATGTACCTTGGTTGCGGGCACATCCCCTGTGGGTGGTGTGCAGGAGGCAGCTGATCGATGTTTCTCTCTCATCGATGTTTCTAACTCTCTATCCTCTCCCTTCCTCTCTGTAAAAAATCAATAAAACATATTTTTAAAAAACTATTTTACAATAACTGTTATGAAAATGCTCAGACAGAACAAATTAAATACATAGGATTTAAACAGGAACAGAAAGGCAATTCAGCAAGCATTTTCAAAGTTCAAACACAATTTCTCCCAAATTAAATATCCTAATGAACTCCTCTCACTTAAGATTAAAATAGAAAACATCTCACCTTTGTATTTATTCCAGAATTCATTCTAAAAGAGAAAAAATATTTTAAAGAACATTAGGGAAAGCACAGACATTTTACACCTATAACAAATTATAACCTAATAACTCAACTTGAATAGGATACTTTCCCAAACAGAGGTCATTTCCCGAAACAAATTGCTCTAGAGCTATTCAATCTAAATGGGAAAGTTTTTTAAATCTTCTGTATCTATAAAGGTGCAGATGGTGGCTTCAATCACCATCTCTGTTGAATATTCAAAGTGTATTTTCAAGTTAGTCTCCAAGAAATGGATTGTACCAAAAATGCTTTGCTCTGTTTGCTACTCCAGTAAATGGTTTTTAGTTGAAATATTTGGGTCAAAGATTCAATAAAGAAATGAATTATTGGTTAATAATCATGGTAATTTAGAAAATGATCATTGGTAATTAAATCAGGGCATCAAGAGCCTACATTAACTAAAAAATGTTCATAGATTAAAAAAAATTTTTTCTGTCTATAGTAGGTTAAATAGTGTCTCCCAACCCTCCAAATTCAGGTGTAAACTCACAATGTTACTTTAATTGGAAATAAGGTTTGTGCAGATATAAGTAAGGTATCAATTGAGATGAGATCCTACTGGATTAGGCTGGACCCCAAATCAATGAGGGGGTCCTTACAAAAGACAGAAAAGGACACAGACACAGGGAGAGAAGGCCATGTGAAGATGGAAGCAGATTGGAGTGATGCATCTACAAGCCAAGGAATGCCAAGGATTGTTGGCAGCCACCATAAGCTAGAAGAGAGGCGTGGAACGGATTCTCCCTCAGGTCTTCCAGAAGGAACAAACCCTGGTGACACCTTAATGTCGAACCTGTGGTCTCCAGAACTGAGAGAAAAAGTATTTTTACGACACCCAGTTTGTGGTTTCATTTTTATTTATTAATTTTTTTATTGTCTTAGAGGTGGAAGCTTAGCATATCAATCTGAGACATTTCTTCTTTTCCAATAAAAACTTTTAATGCCGTAAGTTCCCTAGAAGCACTATGTTGTATATTCGTTTTTGTTCAGCTGAAAATATTTTCTAATTTCCTTTGAGACTTTCTCTTTGACCCACAAATTATTTAGAAGTGTGCTGTTTAATTTTCAAATACTTAGAAATTCTCCTGTTATTGATTTTTGGTTGATTTCATTATGGTCAGATAACATTTTATATGTCTTCAATCTTTAACATTTGTTAAGATGTGTTTTAGGAGACAGGATATGGTCAATGTTGTAGAAAATTCCAAGGATGCTTGGCAAGAAAGTGTATTCTGTTGTTGGGAATCGTATAATAATCAATTAGATTCAGGTCGAGTGATGTCTGGAGAACTGCAGGGGATACAAATGATAAACTCATAATTTTGTGGTACTTTGAATTCTCGTTTTCTTTAATGACTGCTGCTATTTACTTTTCAGGGCCCTCAAATAGCGGCTCCATGCAGTCTACCCAGGTTTTGTAGTTACATTCAGTGGGAGACAGGGTAGAGTGTGCTTTCTCCATATTACTTGGAACCAGACTTGTTGCTAACCTTTGATCCAGTAATCCTCTTTGGAGCAGCTGCTCTTCTTAGGAGATAATCCAGAAGAAATATACATGTGCATGATTTCATAATAGTAATATGAAAACAACTTATATGGCCAAAATGGGAAAGAAGTAAATGTATTGATACAATAGCATTTAATTTAGGTCTTTAAGATTATAAGTATGGTAGCTATATATACAAGTAAGGAGGAGTGATTGGGAGATGATGCTGAGAAAAAAGTAGTACCTAAACTTGGATTGGAATTACAAATATTCATTAATATTTTGTGTATGTATTTCATACACAAAACTATGTGTATGTGAATTCAAAGAGCATTTAAAAGTGAAAATAGTTCTTAAAATTATGAATAACTTTTAAAAATAGACAAATCATGTATTTGGTAAGGCGTGAAAATGAATTCTCAATGCCTCTTCTCTCTTCTGGTGGCTGAAATAAACACTGGTGGTCAAACAGATAGAAACATATACGAATCCCTTGCAGACCTTGATCTTTTGCAGAAATACAAAGATGTCTGAGTCCCACAATTTACAGTGACTATTTTCTAGACAAAAGTGCCAAGTGTGTTTTCCAATGTATTGGTGCTTGCTACATTCTCCTTCCTAGTTTCAGGTTTTATGGGAGGAAACACAAGTGCTTCTGTAATGTTACTGGAGACTATGAGAAACATGATGATACGATGCGGTTACTACCCAAGCCCCAGCCAGCTGTGGGCATTCCATGGAAGTACAGAGCTTTTCCATCTATGAACTCGGCCTCCTCCTCATCAGTGCCTTTGGTCTGCTCTTCCTTACCCTCCTTCCTCCATCTCTTTCTTCCTTCAAAATTTTTAAGGGTTTATTTGAGGCAAAACTGATGGTAGTTGCCAGGAAGCAAGGTCTCAAATGCTTCTGTTTTGTTCTTTAAAAAACTGCTTGCTGCTGCATGGAACTGTTTAAGTCATTGTAGGTACTGCACACTTCCTTCTTCGTGACAAATACCTCAAAGTGCTCAGTGAGACCCAGAGTGGTCTGTTTGGCCAAACATCTCACTATCCCTGGGTGATCACAGATGAATATGGGGTTGCTGGGACTCACTTTCATGAACTCTCTGACAAGATTATCAGAGTCTGGCTGTGGCCTGAGGTAAAGGACATTCAATAGCTTTTGCCACACAGGTATTATTAAGAACTTTTTTAGTTTCTTCAGTTCTGAAGGTTTGTTCCTGGCAGGTTAGTTCCTCACAGGGCTTTCTCACGTGCTTCTACCATGCTGACTCTGTAGATGGGGTGAAGTCAGTGTGACGGGTTTGGCCTTCTGGGCCATTGGGAAGGTGGATGTGATCTTGTCTGTAATGTGCTTCACCATCCCTGATATAATCTCCATGGTTTCAGGAGATCATCATGATCTGTAGAGGCCATGTGAAATTCACTGCTGGTGAATTAGAGTCAAATCATCTGGAACTGGCATTCAATTTCACAAACCGGGACAATGCCACTGCTCACCACCATCTTATGGCAGAGTTCTGGAGCAATTCTTGTAGGTAAGTTCATGTCCAGCTTATTTAGCGAGGTGACAAAAAACTTGGCCACATCTCCACTAGAGATGGCATTCATCCTAGGAATTTCAATGTCTAGGAATCCCAACTTACCAAAATCTTCTTATACATGTGATGCTATTACTGTGGATGATAAATTTCTTCTTTGCAAAGTCATTCAGGTCCAAGCCCAAGTATCTCCAATGATGTGTTTCTTTGTCTTTGAGGCCAAAGTGAGGATTAGGTGACATATATAAGCATTGAGGCAACAGTGTCATTTTGTGGAGAATGACGCTCTGCAAACCCTTCTTCGTTTTTCTTTTCTTTTTTTTCCCTTTTTTTCTTTTTTACCATATGATCTCACTCATTTATGGGAAATAAAGGACAATATAAACTGTTGAACAAAAATAGATACAGAGGCAGGAAGCATGGAACAGACTGTCAAGCGACAGTGGGAAGGCTGGGACGGGTTGGGGGCGCAGAGGGGGCAGGTAAGAGTTCAACCAAAGAACTTCTATGCATGCATATAAGCACAACCAATGGACGCAAGACACTGGGGGGTGGGGGTGAGGAGTGGTGAGCGCCTGTGCGGGGGCGGGGCGGTGGTTAACGGAGAGGTGGTGGTGGGGGGTGGAGAATCCTTGGTGCCTTTCCCAGGACTGTGAAAAATGCCTGCAAAATCTTACCACGGGGTTTCTATTTCTCCTAAAAGGCCCCTAACTATCCATAAATGCCTTTTCCTGGGAGTTTTCTCTGTCCTTTTGCCCCGTCGGCAACGTGCTTTCTCTGGTCTTCAGGACAAGTTCCAAAAGGAAGCCTGGGACACTGGGCCAAACAGGCCGCAGCGGCCATGGCCTCAGTTTCCCGGGCGTTACCCACCCCAGGAGCTTCATAGGGAGCACAAACCACTCGGCCGGCCCCAGAAGCCCCATCTGCTTGTCACCACCAAAAATCAGTCCCTTCTGCATGGTAAGGTCGGGCCTCGAATGACGCCTAACTGACCCCAACACCTCCTTTCCTTGTCTAAGAGGCCTTTGTCCCTGCAGCCCAGGGCGCAGCGCCCTCCCAAGTGTTGCGTGGCGGCCCCCTCCCCAGTGACCAGGCCCTTTTAAGCCGTGACTTCCGGCCTCCACCCACGGCTGGTGTGGAAACTGCAACATGGGCCTCACTCCCGGGTGTTCCCCAAGGAAGCGCATGTCCTTGGGTTGGAGAAGGTGGGACCGGCAGGGGACGGGAGGACAGACCCCCAGGGGTAGAGCCACTACCTTTTCCAGGACGTGCTTCTCCCAGAGGGGTCAGGGCAGGTGGCAGGGACACCAGCAGGGGCCAGAGAGCAGAAGAGATACGCGTCTGTGGGTAAGGGTTTCCCACTGAAAGTTCTGGAAGTTGGCGG